GTGAGCGAAAAATAAAAAGATTCGAACCATAATAAATTATGATATTGAATGTCCTTAGATGTTTTGTATTAATTTATTAAGGAAAACAATGGTAAAAGTGTATTCGATTATATTAGTATATTTTCAGAGAAATAATAATTGAAAAAGCAACTGATTTGAGAGTTTACAAAGGGTGGCTGTGGCTGACAAACAAATGCAACAGTAGATATGCCAAGTCGTACAACATAAAATCTCTAGTTTCATATCATCTCCCCACGCCCATCTACCACACAATTATCACCAAATGCCCATGCCCCATCCCCCATTTTACACAAGGGAGGTCTTAATTTTCTCTCTTATATATTTTTTTTATCCATTTCGTAAATTTATATCTATTTTCTAAATAAAGAACAATAATGATCATGTCCTTTGTCTTATACTCCTATACTACTAATAATACTGAGTTGTTATGTTTTATTTTTTCTGAAGCTGATATATATATATATATATATATATATATATATATATATATATATATATATATATATATATATATATAAGATTTAATGGTACCTATTTACATAAAAATTCCTTCTCCAATTCTATCTAAAAATAATCTAGAGATGCATTTTTTCTAACGATGATGGCACTAGAAAAAAAATTAGATATGATATATAGCATTAACTTGATTATAAAATATGCTTATGTTCTGTATCATCATTGTTATTGTGGATGAAAAAAAAGGCCAAATAACTACTTTTATTGTCATCGTTGATCATACATATTGGTTGAAAGTAGTCATATGTGAAATATGGTAAAAATGTTTAATGTTATTAAAATCTTAGGGGATGGTGGTTTGCATTTACATCGAGTAATAATGGATAAAGTGGTTTGTCTAAAATATGGAAAGAAGAAGGAAGTTGCATCCATGAAGAAACCTCCTTTTTTTGGAATAAAGTTTTTGGCTTCAGATTTTGCAAATTTACTCGTTAGATTCGCATCCGTACTTTCCTTATACTCGATTCTCTCTCTTTTGACTTCCTTTTCACGTTTACTTACTTCACCCCTTGGGCATATATATGTTAGCCTTTATAATGAGAACTCATATTTACACACTTTATGTTTTACAGACATTGCAAAAAAATACAAAATAATAATAATAATAATAATAATAATAATAATAATAATATATGTATGAAAAAAAATTGTTGTATATGAATCAATTGTATATATATCGCCCTCTTTTCAATATCCTAACATCTTTCATTCTTCATAAATACATGCTTTCGATAAACTCTACAAAAAATAGTCAACATACATTTATTTTGTTTGTTTCTATGCTTATGATACTCTCACATTGCCATAACTTATAAATTTATCCAACACTCTTCTCCCTGTAGCATCTTCGAGTATTGCTCCAATCATAGGGATATTGACGCTTTGATCTTTCAACAAACAAAATTTGTTGGTTTCTTGTTAATAAATTTGCAAAATAAATAAGTAGTAAATAATCCAGGGGCGGTTCGCCCAGATTGGGGTTCTAAACGAACCAAAATTTTGGGACCCTTTGCCCTTTACTACATTCATTGTTATAAACTCTTCTCTTTTATTCGGGCTTGTGACCAACAATAATAAACTAAAATCTTTATAAATGGCGGAGTTAATTTTTTTGATGAATTATAGAAAAATATAAACCTTTTGATGTGGGTGATCTATCTTTAACACAACAAGACACCAAAAGGGTACATTCTTGAATTCAATTTGAAGAACGCAATATAAGAGAGGACCTCCTTCTGTTTGTTTCCACAACCACTTAGAAACTGCAGAATCATCAGAAGCAACGTGTTGGAAAGCTTTCCAGGCGAAGTTTGTTGTAAATTGTTGGTCATCTTTGTTGGATTTAAGGAGTTTTGGAACTAAAAGGTAATCTTGTGTATCAACTTCAACCAAGAAATCCTTGTGATTCTGTTTCACAAAAAAGTAAGTTTATAAAGAAATCATTGTTTTTGATAACTTGATATCATAGTATTTTGTATTGAACTATTTATTTTAACAACCTTTGTTGTTGCTCTTATCATTGCAGGGCCACAAATATCAATGTTTTGCATTCCATCATCAAATGTAACTCCAGTGGTGAAAGTGACGTTTTCATCAAAGGAATATAAATTTACCACTACAAGTTCAAATATACTTAAAAGAGTAATCAAGATTTATTACTTAATAACCAGTTCAATATATGCCAGCTGCCTTTCAAGTTTCATGAGTGAATGTTAGTTATATAACTTACTAATATTGTGCTTGACAACCTTGAGAATAATAGATAATGGAAAACATAAAACTGGAAAACTAAAATTCATTCCAAGTTCCAACCCTAGGCCCTTGATTCTATATTCTATAATCAATGGACAATGGCTATTGTCCAGAATTAGTTAAGGAGATAATGAAAACACATACCATTTTAGTTGAGGTTGAGCCACCTACCGCCCCTGATTTGTACGATCGAGATAAGGAAGAGGAACAGAAGGTTGAAGCCAAGAAGGAAGAACAACAGAATGTTGCTTTGCTGTGGTTGTGGAATTTCTATTGCATCGTGTGTATGAATCATTTCTGAATTTCAAATACTAGAATTAGGTTTAGCATCGAGGGGCCCCTTAGAATTGGGGGCCCTAATCCCTTGCCTAGCTCATAACAAGCTAAAGTCGGCCCTGAAATAATCATGTCGGTTGACTGAGGCTCGTATTTGACATGATACTCTTAAACATATTTGTTGTTTATTTGTAGGGTACAATAGTCGAAGCACTATGCACTGTCAGATCTGATCATTTGCCTGAAAAATCACCAAAAATTGTATGCAGAGAGAAGAAGAGAGTATTCGATTTCATGTATTAGAATAAGAAGCAAATGTGTATTTATATAATAGTCTTTCTAACTATACTCGTTAATTATAAATTATATAAATTAGTTATGTATTAACCCACTTTAAATGCATCAGTTAAAAAAGTTATATTAGGAAACAAAACTATAGAGTTCAGCAAAATATGGCTTGTGTGAGCCTATAATTTCGGAGCTGCATTTATGTCCACAGGTCGAGCCCACACATGAGTTCGTTGATTTTTGTTTATAAAATCCATGATTCACACCCCCTACGCAAGCATATGTGTTAGATTAAAATCATGCATAGAAACTTGTAAACCCATTACAAATCTATGTTTATAAACTCACTAAGAGTTTGCTCATTTTCCTATGTGGGACACATTCCCATAACCACTTTATTTGCTACTAACTTTATTTTCAAATACTCATCTTTAAACATCGATATCCCAATCATATATTTTTTGTTTTGGAAACAATATATATCTTTTTGAAGCTCTTACGGAGGAGATCATAACCCACTGAAGATTAATAACATACATACATACACACACACACACACACACACACACATATATATATATATATATATATATATATATGTGTGTGTGTGTGTGTGTATATGTCTGTGTGTGTGTCCAAAGTTTAATACAATCAATAATCCCTCACACGAATGGATATCGATCTCTGCACATAAAATTTCCATACAAAATCTCCAACGATTGAATCTTGCATAGGATAGGTATGTGATATCCTTTTGAACCCTCCCTTGAGAGCTTTACTTAGTCTCCTAGCTGTCAGTAGACATTATGTCCTTGAACCGAGCTGCCATTTATGTAAACGACAATATAATTCACACAAGATTCTTCCTGACAAGGTCATATACTCATAGTCGTGTTCATTATGGTCATGAAACAATAACCTAGTTTTGTAAGAGCTTTTAGGAATTATGCCCCCTAATTGCATTCGAAGCCACCCCACTCCTCTCTCACATAAGTGATCCAAGTAATCATTATAAGCCATATGATTAGCCTAATTTGTCACTGATTATAAGAATGTACTAGGAAGTCTATTAACTTCCTCCCATAATGACCTCCCTCACTCATACAATTAGGTTGTCCTTTTGAAACCAGATCTTAGGATCTCCAGTCTTATGGGTAAGGTTTCCTTTGTATGAATTTATTCATTCAAGGTCTTTAGTCTCATTCCTCCCGATGACTTATAAACTACATCTCTACTCAAGCATTTTATAAGCGGATCCACAATGTTATCTTTTGAGTTCACATAGTCAATCAACACAACTCTTATAGAGATCAACTGTCGTATCATTTGTGTCTACGTCTTATATGACTTGACTTCCCATTAATCAGTGTACCTTGAGCTGTACTAGGTGCCTATTGGTTATCACAATGTATACAAATAACCGCTACCAGTTTAGGCCATCCGTGGATGTCCTCTACAAACTGATGTAGCCACTCTGCCTCTCTACCACATATATCCAAGGTAATAAATTCAAATTCTATCGTAGATCTAGTTATAACTGTTTGTTTGGAAAATTTCCACAATATAGCCGCACCTCCAAGTATATACACATTACCACTTGTATTTATGTAATCCTTTATATGAAATACCCAATTTATATCATTGTATCATTCAATTACAGCTAGATGTTTTCTATAATGCAATCCATACTCATGTGTGTATCTTAAGTACCTCAATGCTCTACTAATGCTCTTCTAGTGTTCAGAACTGGGTTTATAGGTATATCTATTTTATCATTGTTATAGCATATGCTAAGTAAGGTCTAGTGTAGCTCATTAGATACATCAGATTGCCAATCATTCTTGAATATTCCACTTATGCAACATTCTTCCCTCTATTTTTAGATAGGTGTTAACTAGTATCAATAGGATTTTTTTGTTATGTTAGTATCTTTCTTAGGAAACTTTTCAAGAATCTTTTCTACATAATGTGTTTGACTTTATATCAAGCCATTCAGGGTTCTCGTGACCTTGACTCTAAGAAATTAGCATACATAAAGTTTATACATCCTATAAAAATAGATAGAAATAAGTATCAAAATACAAAGTATCAACCTAAAAACCTCAACCTACTCATCGTTGCTCTCATACTCACCCTCCTCGTCCTCCATGACTCATCATCAACATCGATATCCCCATGGTGTGTATCTGAAGGTCTGGCCCCATCATGACCTGGCTAAGCTGGTGGTGGAACAACAGGACCCGCCTGAGGGAAAGGTGGATGGTCCATCCCTAGATGCCGCATCACCCTAATAATCAAAGCCATGATCCAGCGTCACTCCTCTCGCACACAAACTAGACACTGCATCATGTCACGTAGAGTTGACTTCAGCTGGTCAGACTCCGTATGCCTTTGTCTCAGACGTCTCAGGAAGGCAGGCTCAATGATGTCCTTCAACTCCACCTATCAAAGCAGCTCCACGATATCGTCATCCGGAGTCCTCCACGGTTCCCCCACTCCTCGAACAAACACCTTCATCTTACTAAGAGCGATAGTAACCATCTTTTGGATAGGCATATGAACCATCCCGCTAGTGACAACCCCATAAGATAGGTCCAACTGAGTGACCTAATGACCTCCGTAAATCCTACTTGAAGGTGTGGAACCTAGAGCCATGCCATATAAGTAGAGACCAAGAGAAAAAGGAAGATGAAGGTAAACCTCAGTCTAATTGAGGCACCACATTTAAAAGAGATCACTAGAAGGAACCTTATCGCACTCCTGGTGGTGACAAATGGTAAAAACGGCCAATCGATGGATCAACCGATAGATCAGAGATCAGAAGGCGTTCTCCTTGGCCGTCTTGGGAACATAAGTCCCCCTAACATGACCCCAAAACTGCATGTAGTTGTACTCTAGTGGTGGCTCAGTAATAAAACTGTCAAAATGGGTATAAAAATGAGGACTCAAAGTCTCCTCAGCTCTATAGATCCCAAGACGCTTACCAAGTTTAACTAGGCTGTAGGAGCGAGATATGCCTCCCAGGTGAAAAGTAAAGATTGGTCAATCATCACGTCTCGTCAATGACTTGTTAAAGCAGATTATCGAGAAGAACTCCCAACAAAGCGTTTTGAATACCACCTCCCAAATTCCAACAACCAACCACCATCCATGGTAGACAAAAAGCTCATGACCGCTATCCTCGTGCAATACACGGGTAAGGAATGGCTCCAGGCAAGCTGCCAACCCAGACTCGTCTGCATCTCTCCAGGAAAGAGCCTGAGGAATACTGATCTTCTTAGAAAGAAGAGCAGTCAGGAGAAAAACAAAAGAGCTTCGATTAGGAAGATCATCATGGAACTGAAGGAAAGGATGTGAAGGCTAGTTAAGAGGTAACTGACCCGCAACTTGTCGACATCATCTCTCCATATCTATATAAAATTAGACAAAAGACAGTTTGGAATAAGATAGGTAAGATAAATACTACCGAAAGTGTTAAAATGGAACAGAGCACAAGGTTCGTTGCATAAGAGTGCTAGCGACACACATGCATCTGCACGCCGTGCTCCATAAACATGAAGAATAGTAGGCATGATAACCTGCTGTTCTGTTTAATTGTCAACTCAAAAATCATATAGGGATGTTCTACTAGGCTTCAACAGCTCAAATAAATAACCCATTTCGTCTAAATATCACCAATTTGCGGATTTAGCTAAAAAAAATTCAAATTCCAAATATTCAAGATGATGATCAATGGATGAATTAAACCCATTGAGTGTAATGGAAAAAAAATCAATAGTATAAGATGTTTAATTGCTCATCTATTTCACAAAAACAAACCCAAATTCATCAATTGATATAAACCTCAAAACCCTAAAAACTCGAAATTTAACCGAAAATTTAAACTAGGATTAGGCATAGAGGTTACTTGAAAATAGAGAGATCGAAAGAGATGAAGAAATTGAAGATTGGAGGTAGGAATGCGAAGTATGCATCGTGTGTGTGGGACCCAGTCGAGACAAATTAGAGGGAACTAAAGGAATGTTGGAAAAGTTTCGAATTAGGCTAAAAATTCGACTTTAATTTCGATTTGTTGCAGATGTGTGTGGCGCACATCAATTGTCTGTCGTGCAAGTCCAAAATTTTTAAAATTGACAACTTTCATTAGGGATGACCAGCAAAACTGGGTACCCGCGTTTAGAATCGGAACCGCCTTAAGTGGTTCCAGTTCCGATTTTCATTTTTATGGAATCGGTATACACACACACACACACACACACATATATATATATATATATATATATATATATATCATAATCACATACGATATCCAGTATACTCTTGAATAACATCATTTAAAATTCTATGATTTTAAATAAATTGTTTTGAACCTTTAAATGTCTATATATAATTTTCACTTTGAAATTTAACTATCCAATTTTAAAATGAATTAATATATAATAGACATAAGTTACTATTATGCTCAAGTTAAATTCTAACTCATAGAAATATTTTTTTAGCTATGGACTTCAATTCTTTGAATGCTAACTCATTGATATAGTTTTAAACGTTTTAAAATTTTAACAAATTTAACGAACCGGGTACCCACTAGTGGAACCACTACCCACCGATTCCGGTTCCGGTTCCAACATTTTAGGAACCGCTGGTTTTGGTTCCGGTTCTGGTTTCAGTTCCAGATAATTTAGGTCGGTACCCACTTATGCTCCTCCCTACTTTTCATCCCCAAAAACCTTTAGATATTATAATCCTTTAGGAGTCTAATTTAATAAGAAAATTAAGGGCAAGGAAGAAGGATTTCCTTGAAATAATAAGAGATTTTCATAATAAGAGTTGCTACGAAAGCAACAGTAATACTGGAACCCCATTCATAATAAGAGTTGCTAGGAAAGCAACAATAACATGTCGTGATAGGAAGGAAAATGACAATAAAATAAAAAATAACAGTAAATATATATTTAAAAAAGCAATAAGGAGACAGGTTGCTAGGAAAACAACTATAGTACCCTACAAATGGAAAAGGTGGTGTAAACCCCATTAGGAACAACAATCAACCTTCTTACTGTGATTTTAGGAAAACAACCCTGCAATGTTAACCTTGATTGACCCAATCGTCATTTAGCCCATGATTCAACATTAGGGAATATAATAGCTAATAAGGAAGAGGGAAGTACTAAGGAAGGTAGTCAAATAACAAGAACCTATCAAGATTTTCTTAATAGTAAGCCAAGATTATTCTATGGAGACAAGGGAGTAGATAGTTTGATCCACTGGACAAAAAGGATAGAGAAGTATGATAGTGAACATAGAGTTAAGTTTGTGACATTCATGTTCACAGGAAGAGCTCTTCTCTGGTGGAGTATTCAGTTACAGACTTTAGGAGCAGACGAAGCTTATGCAACTCCTTGGGAAGAGTTGAAGAAAGCAGATGATAAAGGAATTTCGTTCCGGTTGACACGTGGCACAAGTCAAGCATGAATTCAATCATCTGATCACCAAAGAGTCAGGATTGGCTTCTTACATGGTAAGCTTTGAGTACCTTTTTACCATATGCCCTGAGTTGGTCAACTCGGAGATCCAGAAAATCAATGCATATCTCCAAGGGCTAGTTCCCCATATCAGAGTCGAAGTGTAATCACTCCATCCCAATACCGATAAGGAAGCTAAATATTTTGCCTTTAGTCTTAAGGATCCTATGCTCCAAAACTCAAGAAGGAGTAATAAGAAGTCCAAAGAGCTTAAAAATAGGTGAGGAGGAATTGTCAAAGGAAAATCTAGTCGACCTGTGTGGAAGGAAAGAGAGGAAAGGAAGCCTCGTGAGAGATCACCCACTTCACCAAGGGGATACTTGGGAATACTAACCTTATGTAGTAATTGTGGAATTCATCATCTGGGAAAATATGAAGAATTTAGGTGTAACAACTGTGGAAGACCAGGACACATCGCCAACGTCTACAAGAATCAACCGGGATAGTAGAAGGAAATACTGGGTATTAGAATAAAAAGATTTAGGAAGATGTATTATAGGAATGACTATGTAATTATTGAACAAGGGAATTAGAAACCCTTGAAGTTATATTCATCGTTATATATATATATATATATATATATATATATATATATTATATATATATATATATATATATATATATATATATATATATATATATGTCTATTTTAAGTACATGTAGTAATAAACAAATAAACAAAGAAATCCTTCCAGCAATCCACACCAATATAAAGATAAAATGTTTAGGTTTTCTATTTGTATAAAATAAGGATATAATCAAATAGGATTTCAAAAGACAAATATTATATGCTAATGATAAAGTTGAAGAATTAGAAATAGGAAACCAAAAAGGAAATTTTGTTTTGCCAATAAATATGAAAAATAAATCGATTTCCTGATTAACAAATCAGTCTCCCCTAATAAGATTACCATAAGGTCCGAATTTCGGTACAAAATTCCTAAAATAGGGGGAGAATGTGACAATTAGGAAATTCCAATCATCAATCTTCACTAGAAATTAGCATCAATCAATGATGATAATAGAACTTTTCATGTTGAAGGAAAATTATAATCACCTAGATAATAATAAATAAGTCAAAAATGAGTGACTAGATAGTTATATCACATTTAGTAATGGACAATGTATTTGGAATGTACACAACAAAATGATCCCTATGATATAAGCATTGTAAAAATCTAACTCCGATTGGAGGAGTTATGATTTTATAAAAGATAAAATCCAACCGTGTTAATAACGCTATTAACGTCAAAATGACATGAAGAAATTGATTGAGTTTCGGTTATCCTCAAAAAGGAAAATCGTAGCAACCCGAGAGATAAGTACTTTGACTGGAAAAATGTCAAAAGGTAGTTTGTAAAAAGGAGATACAATTTTTAGAAAAATATAAAATACGGGTTAAGAACAAAAGTTATAATTTGACAATGCAACCTTAAGGAAAGTTATAGTACTAATAGAGAGCTACACAAATATATAAAGAGAGTAAGAAACGAGATTCATATAAGGAATATATGATTTAAAAAAATATATTTAGAGGTGCACGCCAAGTGCATGCCATGCTCGTCGCGCACGTCTGACACCCAGATTTGTCGAGATTAAGGAGATGTGGATCATCAGAGATGTGACACATGGAAAGCTATGGATGGTGCCAAGAAGCGAGTGCACGTTACACATGAAGTGCGCCGTGCATATAACGACTATAAATAGAGGTGCCCACTTTCTGATTTTCTCATCCTAAACACTCTCTCTATACTTTTAGGTTGTTTCGGAAGTCCTCTCAATGAGGCAAAGCTTTAGATGCAATGGGTTGGATGCTTCAGAATACACTACTAGAGTGAGTTCACGACCCCAATTTCACTATTTTGAATGTTTTATGAGGGGGGTGGGGGTGGGTGGGGGGAACACATGTCTATCACAATGCTTTATAAAATATATTTATATCCATAAATATTAATCGTTTTATAAAGCTATAAACCTTAGGATAATGTAGCTATAGATATTATACCTAGTTATAATTTGTCATATTATTCCTAAGAGTTATGATACCCGATAGTCTAGGAAGAGATA